CCCCCCCCCCCCCCGTTCAGGCGCGCCCAATCGCAGACACTCGCGAGTCGACTCGCCTTCGACCACACAGCCCCCGAGTCCCGAGAAGGCGCGCCTACCATCTCTATGATCTTGGTCTTCCGGCCCGTCTTCTTCTTGACGGTGAAGATGTACTGGGCCAGGACCACCCCTCCGACGAGGGCGCACACGCTGGCGCTGGCCACCGCTCCCATCTTCGCAACAGCACTCTTGTCCATGCCGGCGGGCACGCGCCTCGGGGGCGGCGGCGGCGGCGGGGGCGCGCAAGAGGAGCCGAGGCCAAGTTCGGCCAGATTTCGGAAGCGGACGAGGCGGAGCTCTTCCTCCCCCGAGGGACCGGCCTCTCTCGCCGGCTCTCCCCACCACCCTCTCGCCGTCAGAAAGGAAGCGCCGGGGCTCCCGCTCCTACCGCCTCAGCCCTTCCCTCCCGCCCATCTCCCGCGAGGCGACGCGTAGCGCCAACCGCCGCCCAACCAGCCGAACCGCGGCTGTTCCGAAAACCCCCGACCTTGCTCGCTTGCTCTCGGACGAACAAGGACGGGCCTTAGGTAGGGAGCGGCTGGTCAAGTGGGAGGGAGAAACCACTCTAACCAGCCGTGAGTGGAGGTGGTCCGCCCCTTTTAGAAAACCCCCCATCACCACCCCTTCTTTAGGCAGCCTGTATACATTCAGCAGAAGCGAACCTGCTTTCCAATGCGGGGAGGAACATCTCAAAAATAACCCCACCAATGAGAAAAGGATGACCTTTAACTGCACTGACACTCCGCTGCCAATCCTGTGAAAAATAGTACAACCCAATCCGCTGCGAGTTTACCGACGCTTACCTTTTTTTACCAAGACTACAACTCCCAGGATGCGCTGCGTGGACTAAACTGCCGCCGCCTCCCGCGGCCGCCTTCCCGAAGCGTCCCGGGTTGAGAACGGAAGAGGGCGGAGCCGACGCTGGCTTTTGGGGCGCCATGACAACGGGAGCAAAAATGGCGGCGAGGGCAAGCGCGAGCATGTTGCCCGTCGCTTTCGTTCGCCCTTGTAGCCCATAGACGGAAAGGACTGTTTTAGGTACCTTCTCCGAGAAGGCGTCCTATAGTGTTTGTACTGGTCTCTGCTGTTTTATCTTCCCTCGTGGGCTCTCTCCAGCGGTGTCGCCGAAGGAGGGCGCTTTTGCCAGGGAGCCGCACGCCTTGCCTCGGTCCCTAGCAGATCGCCCCATCCCTCGAAGCCCGTGTGCAGCAGAGGAGAGGTTGGCAGGAGGCTGTTTTCTTCGCGGTCTCCGCGCACCCTCAAGCTTTGTTGAACGGGCTGCTGCAGGTTGGGCGAGGAGACCGGCACAGGGGAGAAATAAAACGCTTTATCTGTTCCTGAGGGGAGCTGGGTGAGTAGAATGGGGAGCGCGGTCGCGTGCGTTGGCCAGTGAAAAGTAGGCGCGGTGCCACGTTGTAGACGTCGACCGCTGGGCGCGGAGGGGGGCAGGTGTTCCGTCAAGTTAGCTCCCTCAATTTTAGTGGGGTTTAATCCCAAAGAAAGTGGTAACACGGGTGCAGGCTTGTAGTCCGATCCTGTGAATTTCTGGCCAGTGAAGAGTACCAGCTTGGTTAACTGTGTTTACATGTAACAGTGCACAGAGTTGCCATCGTAGCTTTGCCGCTCTGTGCCTGTTTAGTGGGCAGAAGTCCCGCTGGGTTCGGTGGCAATTTGCAGCAAAACATGTTCACACACACACTTTTGCTGTGAGGATAAGCAAGTACACTGAGAACAAGTGTTTTTTATGGATTACGTTAGTGTACTCACCTGTTCCCTTTTTATTTTCAAAATCAATATGTAACTGTCATTGTTGTGAAGAATTTTACTTGGAATGTCTTAACAGTTTGAAGAAGCTTCTATCTTAAATTGCCAGTTAAGTAGATTCTGTAAAGATTATTTGTCTAAAGAAATATATTGTGATTTGAATGAAAATATTGCAACAGAATCCTGAGAGAAGTCACCCTGGAAGTCCTTTTTGCTGTGCAAGTACTGATGAAGAGTGCACTTGTGTATGTAGAGTGTGTGCTTAAAATATTTGCATTAGCATAGATAAGACAAGGATTATTGAATCTTCTCTTTGCCATGTTCCAGATAGCAGCAGGCAGGTATTAGAGCGACTGATTTGGGTCATGCTGGATTGAGGTCCTTAGCTTGTATCACAAGGGCAACTTCAAGTAGTGAATTGGATATCTGTCTGTTGATTATTGTGTTTCTCCATTGTTTAGGGCTATTGACAGGAATAAGAATTATGTGCCAGTTGTTGTTTATATATTACGAATGGTAACTGCACAGTAAAAATCAGTTATGCCCTCTTCCATGACATTCTGTCACATTTTCCTAAATATAGTTTGCCTGTTTGTAAACCTTAAGATTCCCCCAAAGTTTTTAGATATCTCTGTCTTGTGTGATGGTGGTGATTTTTTGTTACATGGGCGATGGTACTCACACTATGAACACAGGAAACGGGAGGAATAAAGATCATACCATCAGTGTGAAGAGAACTAAATAGCTCAGTGCAGAAGGAGAAAGCACATTTGTAAGATATGGCTTGTAGATATACAGTATCTTTCTAACTGCTTCCCTTTATGACATGTCCAGTCATATGCCAAAGAGCTCTCTGAATGTTCAGAAACAGGTTTTCAAAAGATGTGATGTATTGCAGTACGGAGTGTAAGACCCCTTGCATAAACAGAACTCTGCACATGACCCTTTGGATCCTGACTTGCAGACTAATATTTGAAAAATATAGTTCCTTGTGCTTTGCAGAACACTGGAGTAGGTTGATGAGAGTGGTTGTTTTGCTGGTCCCACTGAGAGAGGAAAATGGGTTATAGATTAACTGACACAATTACAGTGGCCACTCATGGTCCATTGGTACTACAGCATCCCTCCCTTACATTTGATAAATACTGATGTGGCCATATTTGTTTTAATTCATGCTTTAGGGATAGAAATAATAATATCTTTAGGGTTTTTTTTTGCTGGCATATGTTTGTCATATGTGTTGCTTCGTTTTTGTTTTTAAAGAGCTTGGGCCAATTAGGATTAACACTAAAGCATTCATGCTGATGATTCATTGCCTTTAATCTTATTGAAATATCTATAAGGCTTTTATAATTTGCTGTGACTACTTGTTGCTATTTGATGAGATTCCAGGATGGGTCTTGGGCATGTGCTGGTCAAGTGCCCAGTTGTGTGACTGAGAGGTGCTCCAGCACCTCATCAATTAGCCACAATTAGCCATAGCAAGTTACTCAGATCAATTTGATATTTAAATTCTCTGAAGTTTTGAAAAGTGGTTTCTGCCATGGCCTGGAGTGGGAACTCCTAATGTTGCATGGACTGACAGTGCTAGATTGCCCTCTTGTTTTCTACCTCTATGTTACGGTAGCAGCAGCTGCATTTCATTTTGAATTCTGTAAGGCTTCGGTGTCCATCTAGTACATCATTGTACAAGCTATTTATTCAAGGAAAAGAGCACTATGAAGGCTGAGCAAGATGAGCAGCCACTACTATTATTTAAAAGAGTGTTTAGAATTGAGATACAGGTACTCTTATCTAGGCTATATTGCATGGATGTTAATTCCAATTTCTATTTAAGTTTTACATCTGTCATTTCCCCCCATTAGGGAAGAAAGAGAATGTCTTTATTTAAAACCAGAGAGTGGTGGTCTACAGTAGTTGGCAACAAAGAAGAATTTGATCAGGGATGCTTATGTGTTTCAAATGTTGACAACAGCTGCAGTGCACAAGGTAAATGGAAGTGTTTAAATTTGAAGTTTGATTATTCTTATTGTATAACATTCCTTTCAGCCCATGGGTCAAATGGCATTTAATTAGGTAAATGCTGTAATTTCAAGTACTGTATATTTAGTGGGGAGAATAGCCTAATGAGGTTGGAGAGATTTTATTTTGAGTAAACATGTGCAACTTGGCTGTGTCTTATTTCTGTTCAGAAGTAACGCCAACTGAGTTCAGTGGAAGTTACTTTCTGGTAAGTGTGCTTCTGACTGCATTCTTAGAGCTTCATCTTATATAGATATGGCAGAACAGCATGGGATAACTTGCTTAAGCTTCACTTTAATTTCTCAATATATTTTTTTCAGATAAAATAATTGTGGGCAGTTATATGGGATTTCTTAGAATCTATAATCCCCATCCTATAAAGCCTGGAAATGCTATGCAAGCTGAAGATTTGCTCTTGGAAGTGCAATTAAGTGAGCCAGTACTGCAAGTGGAAGTAGGAAAATTTGTTTCGTAAGTAAATGATCAGTGTTGTTGTAAATGATCATGCTAATTAGGAGACTTGGGTTGAGCGTGCTTATTGCTGCAGCCAGCTTGCTTCCCTAAAGATATATCAGATGTATCTTATGAAATGTCTTGGGTTTTATTATACCAATTATGTTCTATGTATGTATGAATCTAAAAATGCTGGTAGTTCATTCCTTGAAACCGCTCTAAAATTGTATGTTTCTGATGTGAATTTAGGTAAGATAAATACTATAAAAATGATGTGTGAGGAATAGCATAAATGTTTTTAGCTTTTATCAGGGTTATCCACAAATTCTTTTACTGAAATCCTTCCTGTGTCATCCCTGGGTACCATGGGATGCTGCCACCCTTCATGTTTGCAGTGGAGAATAAGTTATCCATACATTATTTGTTTCCAAGGTAGAGCTGGCTTCTGCCAGAGTGGGAGCCTGATTCTACAGAGTGTCCCAGTGCATCCATTTCCCCCCCTCAAAACATGAAATGCTAGAGGAAGGAATATCATTCTAAAGAGAGTGAAAAGCTGTGTATCTTTTATCTGAGAGCAGAGTAAGCTCCTGCTGGAGTGGGAGCCTGATTCTACTGCGGCTCTCTCAGCACATCTGTTTCCCCCCCACAAAATATGAAATGCTGGAGGAAAGAATATCTGAGGAGAGTAACAACCTGTTTATCTTTTATCCCCAGCAGAATTGTAGGGAAAAGTGCAAAGTTAAGGTTACCCTCCTTCCAATGAGTTTGAGGAACTTCACTGGGCTTGGAGGGAAGTTTTCACTTTGATACTTTTCCAACTATTGAGCAAGTACAGTGGTGCCTCGCTTAACGAGTGCACCGTTTAACGCCGAATCCGCATAGCGACACGTTTTTTGCGATCGCTAATGTGATCGCATTGCGATGTTTCAGATAGGGAAAACATCGCATTGCGATGACCGGTAAGCGTTACAAACAGCTGATCGGCGGTTCCAAAATGGTTGCCGGGTCAACAAAACGGCCGCCCACAGCGTTTTCGCGCCCTGCCCTCGCTTACCACGAAAATGGCGGCCGGATGGAGGATTCCCCGCATAGTGGTGAGTTTTTCCTCAATAGGAATGCATTAAACGGAGTTTAATGCGTCCTTTTGTTCCTCCCCCCGCATAGCGACGAATCCGGATAGCGACGTTAATCCTGGAATGGATTAACATTGCTATGCGGGGCACCACTGTATCACTGAGATAGGAGTGAAGTTAATGCCTCTTTTCTACCCAACAATCTGTGCAGAATTGTTGGAGGAAGGCTCCAGTTTCACTCTTATTCCAATTGTATTGTTTGATATTGCTGAGATGGGAGCAAAACTAACATTTTCACTTCCCCTGTGTGTGTTTCTGAGACCATGTAAGGCTGTGGCTGGTTTCCTTGGCTACCAGAAGTTGCCCACTCTCTCTTACATTATCAGGTTGATCTTCATTTTAGACATAAATATAAGCTTGTGGACTTCCACATTCTTGGAAGATCACACACTGATCTAATCTCCCATTTTCTTTAATAATTGTTTGCCATAATGGTTGATGAACATCTTTAGTATACAAAAGCAAATTGTGGTAGTGAAGCAAACAAAACTAAAAGTGTTACTGCAGCTTCTGCTCTCTGCATTTACTTGCTCCTGTTTGCTGACCCTTTAAAATTTTCTTTGCAACTATTTTCCTTCATTCTGTCATGAAGAAGCATATGGGTCTTTAATCTTTTCATGATTCTCCAAACTGTGGTGGCTAAACCAAGTAAAAAACTGAACATTTAAAATTGCCATGGATAGACTTGTGTTTGTAAGGGTGCTTAAATATTAAGATAGTTCTTGATAAATTCTGAAGTAATTACACTGCAGCTAATGTAGATGAAATTGCAAGCTTTTGATTTTTTTTTCTTACAAACAAAACATTGCATGTTTGTGAGAGTTCTCAATGTGTAACTACATGTTTGGTAGAATGATGAAAACATATACAGTGGAACCTCTACTTAAGAACATCCCTAAATACGAACATTTCAACTTACAAACAGCTCTGTTTGCAAAATTTTGCTTCTACTTGCGAACGGAGCTTCAACGTATGAATGAAAAAAACATGGGGGAGGCAGGGAAAGTGCGAAATTTGAACTTTCAGTTAACCGTTGGCTAGCGAAGAGGTTGCTTTTCTGCTACCTCGCTCGTCCAAACGGTTAGAGAGTGGATAGGGAGAAAGTCTTCAGACTGCCTGGTACTGCCTGGTATTGCCTGGTACTGCCTGGTACTGCTTGGTACTGTACTGTACGGACTGTGTGTTTTGGGCTTTTTTTTAAAAAGAGAGAGACTGCCTGTTCTGGGTGAGTACACTGTATTTACTGTACTGTACAGGGTTTTTTGCAGCTTGGTGGAGGGTAGGTAGGGCTAGGTCGGGGATTTCTGTGCTCTGATGGGTCTTGCAGTGTAGATTTTAGTTTTAAAATGTGTGTGGTTAAAATGTGGCTCTAAAGTCTGTTTTAAAGTCAGAAAATATTCTGTGAGTGGCTCTGGTGGTTGTAGATGCAGGCAGGCAGGCTTTAAAATGGAGTTTAGACTCAAGTCCCCCCCCCGTCTCTTTTTGTGATGAGGAGTTCTGTGCTGGAATAATGGTTGCTGATTGTTGGTGCAAGCAGGCTTTAAAATGGAGTTTAGACTCAAGTCTCTACCCCACCCCCTCTCTTGTTTAGACTCCACAGTCTTTTTTCTTAAAATGAGAAAATATTCTGTGAGGGGCTGTGCTGGCTGTTGATGCAGGCAGACTGTAAAATGCAGTTTAGATTCTCTGCATTTTGTGATGAGGAGTTCTGTGTTGGAATAATGCTTGCTGGATTCTGTGGCTTTTTAAAAGGTGTTCTGCCTTTTTTTTTTAACGTAAAAGGTGCTTGAATTTCTTTAAAAGGTGCTTGCTTTTAAAGGTGGTGTGTTTGTGTTGTGTGTTCCCTCCCCCTCCCTCCTTTCCTGCCCTTTTTTTGACCTAAGTTCATCTTAGGTCAAATTTTCACCCTAATGGTAGAGGACGGATTAACGGGCTTCGCATTAATTCCTATGGGAACTAATGCTTCAACTTATGAACGGCGGCTCTGCATAAGAACCAAAAACAGCCAGAACGGATTAATTGGTTTTCAGTGTATTCCTATGGGAAATTTTGCTTCTACTTACGAACGTTTCAACTAACGAACATCTTCTGGGACGGATTTAGTTCGCAAGTAGAGGTTCCACTGTATGTCTTCATTTATGTATCCTCTTTTTCCTTGTGACAGGAGAATTGCTTTTCATATACTTCATATAAGAGTATATGAGATTATGTACACCTCATGTTTGCAAAAACATACCTTTGGAAGAGCTTTAAAGGCTTAGAAACACTTATAAACTTAAAGTGTCATATGTTTGTAAGCTTGTTCAGTGACATGTTCTTATCAAAGTTAAATACATTAGAAGTATCACTACGTTATTTGTTTTATAGTGATGCATTCTCATATTTTATTTCCTTGTTCTTTCTTGGCAGTGGTACAGAACTACTTCATTTGGCTGTATTGCACTCCAAAAAACTATGTGTATATGCTGTCTCAGGTAACTTAAAAATCATCTGATGCATTTTGTCTTTTTTCACATGAATAAAATATAGTACATTTTGCTATAGATACATTGATCGGAAGTCAGTTTAGATGCTATAAAACTTTAAGTAATATTCAAATGATTCTTACTCCCCTTACTACTGCTTCTATCCCAGTGTTATTGAAAAATGACTTTCAAATATTTAAAACAAATAGCACTACTTCTAAAAAAGCATTTGGTTTACCTTTTCTGTGCCTGAAAAGGCGTTTCAAATGCTATTAATTTACAGTACCTTGGAAAACATTTTGGTAGGCCATTTTTGCTAATTTATTTATTTGATTTATACGCTGCCTATCTGGACTATCAGTCCACTCTAAGTAACAATAATGTTGTTATACTGTTGTGTTTTTATACCAGTGTAACATGGTTAGTTTAAACCTAAGCTGTTAATTGCTGCAAATTAAGCAATTAATTTAGCATTTGCTGTTAGGCTCTGAGTAGTGTGATTTGGCATGCTAGAGTAAATCCCTATGTAAATTTTGTAACTTGCAGCAATTTGCCACAGAGATGTATGCTATTTGTATTATGACAGTGGCTCTAACTGATAGGATTATGGCCATTTTCTTATAATAATAAAAAGTGTAGGATACTATTATTCATTCATTTATACTACAGCATAGGTCAGGGAACAGGGATAAATTACCCCAAATT